GAAAAGGGAGGTCACAAGGCCAAGCAGCCTCGATAAACGTTGCACAGAGTGGCGACAGTTGCTAACCGAGACGTAGCTTGAATCGTCTGCAAATCATTCCTAAAAAATACTATGCCCTAGAGATTTTTTTTACCAGTGCGTGGCGGATAACTTCAGAGGCTACGAACCCCCAGTTTCGATTTCGGTGACCTTCATAAAGGCGCTTTTCAGGCTTGAAAAGGGCGCACTGACAAGTTTGTGGATAGTTTGTGGGCAAGTTGGTGCAAAAGAAACTTGCATGTACGCAGTAACTATATTATAAAGTGTGAGGTAATCAGCCATATTTCTCTGACTGCAGCAAAAAGTGCGGATGACTGCGTGAGCTCTATAGGTTTTCCAGCCACGCGCAGCAAAACAAACGCAAGTGACTTGACGCCTTCTGAAGTTTGGAAAGAACATTTTTAGTATGCCAACTTCTTGATAAAAAATGTGTTTGCTAGCATAATATTTACTCTCAAATTATGGTTACACATGTATTGCGAATGATCACCGTGTCCTCGAAGATCATTGATATGATACCATTTGCTTGTTGTAGTGGGCAGTGACTGGTCTAGCGGAGAGGTAGCAGGAAAAAAGCTTGAATGCACGAAATAAACAAGATGGTCACCATTTACCTCTAGCAAAGCTTAGCTTTGGCAAATAATCTGTTCGCTCATGTAGGTCATGTTATATCTTACTTTCTAGGCACCCGGCCTTCACTGACCATAGCGGGGCATAACGCATTTACTCTCAGCATCGGCCGCCATAGACACCTAGGAAATGAGACGTTCGCAGAAAAAGTAGACGCACTCAAGCGTATTTCTCCCATGAACTTCTTTGAGTGCTCACTGAGTGCGGCCACAAATGTGTGAGCCGCCTATTCCCCTGCACCTCCTAAATGACAAATGCAATACCCGGACCGATTTCGCAGCTTCTACACGCTAAGCCAAGGATCCCAATCAGCTACCGTGCTGTCTAGACACTCGAGGTGGTACAAGCAAAAAGGGGGTGGGAGAGGGAGAGGCAATTTCAAGTTTGAAATAAAATAATCGAACCTTAAAAAAATAACTGTGCGTGAGTTTTCGAGGTAATCATATCACATGCTAGTGCTAGGAGTACTCACATAGGTGAGCACTAATGAAGCAATCGTTTCGTATGATCACTTCCTATACGACACCACTGTGCTGCTCTTCTAAAACTGGAGTGAAAATATCTGCACTACCAAGTGCACAAACTGATCAGAATCTGACAGGTCTACCGTCGCATTTGGGAAATCCCAGTAAGTGGGGTGGGGTGTGAAATTTCTGTCCCAAAAAGACTCCCAAGATCCTGTATGCGTTTGTCTTAGAGGATTTGAACGCCGAAGCAGCCATCCTTTTCTGCTTCTCGGTCGACTGCATTCCCTCGCCAAAAGCTTTCTACGCATCATTTGGTTTTTCAGTTTCTCAGGGATCTGCCCAATTCAGACCAATCGGCGATGTCACTTGATGATGTCATGATTTCAAAAATTTTGGTGATCTATAATGTCAACCAATGATTTTATTTAGCACTTGTGTAGACAGCGACAGGCACTTTTCGCGCTTGATAAGGCCTATAAACTTTTTCGACCATGTATACTGTGCTGTTTATTTTGTAGGAGCGCGCAAATATTATTAAATTTTCACACTGAATTGAATACTTCCTGAGGCATATCAAATACGCACTTTTTATATTAGAAATCTCCGTGACTATGATATCATTAAATTCGTTGTTCAAAGTTCAGCGGGTGCGATTTGCATCTGTTTTACAAATTAATTGCGGTGCAAGCAGAACTCGATTATAGCTGAAAGAATGGACTCATATGTTTCACTAAATCTGAGCACTGCATTCCTGTATGTAAGTGTGAGACCGCCCTCTAAGTATGAATGTTGCGCTGCTTGACCTCATCTTTCCCTCTGTCGGCTCACCACGCTTGCACCACATCATGGCTGATGTCACCCTGATCCTCATTCATATTTTTGAAGGTTTCAATTAGCTATGTGAGAAAGAAAAGGAAAGTGGCAACCTATACATCTGTTAAGTGATGCATGAGGCTAGTAATGTTATGGCTAGCAAATTCCTTCCGCCGTTCATGCCCATGAAATCGCCATTTTTGCACTCACTGCAAGACATGAAAAAGGGGCTTTGTGTAATGATAGCCAGAAACTAGTAAAAGATATTTTTTCGGGTAGCTTCTGTATGTAGCGACATATGTATCGAGCGGACGATGCGCAACACCCACAGTGTGTGTGCAGAAGGGTCCTGTTAAAAGGAACGCTGGAGCACGTGTCATCGGCTCTGGTGTTTTTCACAAACTGCCACATCTAGTGGCCACGTGATCAAATAGAGGACGTGACATTTAACATCCCCTGAAGTGGGTTTGCAAACCTCGCCAGCTATTGCTCGTGTCTCTCAACTCACTACATTCCCCTTGTATGGTTCCTAGAACGAATATGAAAAGCACTGGCAGTGAATAATACTACCGGTTGGATCCAGCCGGTAATGCTACCGGCTGTATCTTAGTACTTCTGTTGAAGGAACAGTGCACGATGTAAAGCAGAAGTGGAGAAAGGGAAGTAGCAGGACAGGACATCCTGACATCATGTCACAGGGACATCTGACATCATGCCCATCAAGGTGCTGCCTCACAAAGACCGGTGTGCAGCTGCCGCCTGCTAGCAATGTTTCAAAAATACAGGCAGATCTTGAGAAACACTGAAAGTAAATGGTTTATCGGAACATAAGCTGCTCTTAAGTGGAATTTTGATGCTTTCGTCTTTTTTTTTTCTTTTTTTTCAGTGTGCTCTAAGCTCCGACAGAGGCATTATAGAGCGATTCGAATTAAAGTACTTTCAGTGTCAGAAAGACGGTATGTTGTAAACCAAAATGTCGTAAAATACAGGTATTTGGTTGCTTTGCGCGAGGCAAAATATTGCTAACATAAATTTTACCGGTATAACGAAGGCTAGGCATTTTACGTTAGTTAGCCATGTTTTGTTGTAAATTTGCAGCTTAACATGATATTCAAGGGAATGCTTCTGCGAAGCCACTGGTACAGTGTCTTCATGACGAGGAAGTACATAAATTTTTAATCTTATACGACATTGTGTAGAGCAAAAAACTAAGCTTGTTCTATTATAAAAACTTTGGGAATTTTCACTTGGGGCAAATGCAAGAAATTGGATCTAGTTTGTTTTGATGCTTCAAATTTAGAAGGAGCAATCTGATAGAGTGAGCAGCACTCGTTGAGCTAACTGCTAACCAAAAATTTGGTAGTCAACTGTTCCACTTCATAACACAGGTGGTGTAGCCAAATGAAAGAGACGCATAATAGCGATTTCCAAGAAAACAGTTCACTGGCAATAGCATAATTATGGAATGGTAGACTATCGGTAGTCAACGCATGGCATGAATGCTGAGTAGCAATATTTATTTTGCGTCAGGAGGGAATTATGTATGCAAAGATAGAATGCAAGTCTATAAATATTTGTTTTTTGTTTGAATAAACAATGTTTTTTCTCTGGAAATATTTGATTATATGCTAAATTTGCATGGAAATAAAACTCTGCTCCTTAGTGAATATAATATGTACTCTGACTTTACATACAAAAATACAGCAAATCTACTCAGACCTTTCGCCTCCTATGTGAGTGGCATCCTCAGTGTGCACTGGCACCAAATGTGTGGAGGTGACCAAATTTACTGATTGTCTCGTGTGTCTACTCATCCGGATGAAGGCCGTGATTGTCTTTGCACACTGGCTGGTCACGACGGTCTAACCACGACTCAAAAAGCTTTCTCTTCCCTCTCTTTTGTTCCTGAGCCAGCGTCATCGAATTACGAAAGTCGAAGGCATGCCCCATTTTCAAGCAGTGTTTGATGAGTTTTGCCTGAGAATGCGTAGTTTTTGTGATGTCACCTTTGTGTTCACTATAACTCATTGACCAATTCCTGCCAGTTTCGCCAAAGTAAGTGGGGTTGCAGCCACTGGACAGGAACTTGTAAATAACCCTGTTTTGATCATTCGCCAGTTTTGTCAATATAAGTGGTGTCGCAGCCACCGCACAAGAACTTGTGCGGTGGCTGCGATAGAAACTTGCGCACAGGAACAGGAACAAACCTGTTTTGATCATTCGCAGAGGTGCTGTCTTTGGGCTTAGAGAGCACGTTTACCAAGGTACAATAAGGTTTGAAAATTGCTGTAATTCCCAGTGGACGAAGTGCTATTCGAACAGAGTCTGAAAAACTTTCAACGTAAGGTACAGAAACAATGGGCTTTGTGTTTTATCGCTGCACACTTCTTGTTCCCTTTCGCATGTGTTTCTGTGTGTCATTGATAAACCTGTTCAGATAATGGCTTCATTACAATTCACCAACCACGTTTTCCATCTATTTGACTGCAATTGCTGATCATTGATGTATGCGACACCACATGCGTGAATTAAATGGGCAGGAAGCGACCAACAGGGCTTAAAGAGCACAAAAGATACATTGCAAAAGCCATCCATGCCACGCAATATAAGATAAAACTCGTCGAACACTGCTCGACGATAGAACGTGCCTTCGACTTCAGTAATGTGACAACCCTAGCTCGGGAACAAAAGTGGGGCAAAAGAAATCTTCTCGGGTCGTGATTCAATAGTGCGACGAGTTGGCGCGCGACAACCGCGGCCGCATACTAAGCGATATACGAGACAAGCAGCAAACTATGGAACCTCCGCTCATTTGGTACCAGGCCATACTGAGGATGCCAGCTGCATATTTGGCGAAACGTCTATGTAGTTTTCCCTGTATTTTGCTGTGCTCAGTATAAGTCTATATATTTAATCATGAATTGGCCTGTCTTTTGGAACATTTTTACATCTGCTCTTTAGTTATAACTCTGCTGCATACGGTGGTGTACCAAACAACATGCTAATAATTTTATTTTGATGTTTTGGGTGAATTTTTTTTCATTTTGTTTTAGATACATATGCACGTGCCGGAAGAAGAAAATAAGCAGCAAAATTCCATCTTACTTTGCCACCAATGCAGCTGATGACGAATGACAGAAAGGAATACTATGCTGTGAGTGCCATGTATTTGGTAAGCACCATAATATATGGCAATTTTAAACTAACAATTTTCTTTGTGTATCATTTATAATAATTAACTCAACGAACACTGCCACTCTGAAAATAACTAGGTAGACTGAATATGTTTGAGCTGAAAAACTGAAATAAGACCGTAAATAAGCTCGAAATGTTGATTCTTTGCCATCGTTAATGAGTAAGGAGCCAATCATTCAGCTCAATAAAGCTTCACAAGTTTCATCACTGCACTATTTAAGTTTCCTCACCTCTGTGTTCTTTCACAGCTGGATTGTTACATAGCTTTCTGTCAGTCTTAGCACAGCTTTCATAAGATGTTTCAGACAGAGTTTGTCAGCCGATTCTTTGCATTTTTTTAGAGAAGTGTTCTCATTTAATTATTTTAGTTGCTTGATAAGCTACTAGTATAGGTCTAATCACTTCCTCTTCATAATGCAGGCCCTCATTGCCAACCGATTGCCTCGCGTCATGGCTATTTCCACGGTCGTCACAGCCATCGCCCTGCAATTGCTGTTTGCTGACATCGTCGACAGTGTACTGCGCTCTTTCCTGTCTCCCTTGTTTTCCTTCAAGTTTCTGCAGCGATTCAATTTTTCATGTGTACCCCTCTTGGACGTACCCTGACCTGGCGAGCTTGTTCACTCAAGTTGAACTACATTGGCAAAGTCTCGAGCAAAGACTGGCAACTTCAACATGCTGCTCAGTTTGCATTTGTGACCTACACTGGGCATGTGAACTGATGTGCCGGTATGGTTGTTAGTTGCTTCTCTGATGCTGATGCAGGTTGGTGTCAATTTGTCATTCTGCTCTAATGATTGCATTTCCTGTGCCTGCTGCTGTTGCTGTGCCCACAAGTATGATTGTATGTGTATCCGTAGTTGACATATATGGCGTTATATTTTTGTGAGAAATAGGTTACTCGGTGATAATACTCGTTCTGGATACCTTCTAAAGATGAACTTCCTTTCAAACGATTTCCGCAAACAAGTGAGAGTACTTTGGTACTTTTCCAAAGATGCGCATAACCACTCGCTATAAAGTATTATCTTGGAAGCTGCATTCACTGCAAATCCAAAAATGTTGAAATGCCAAAATTGGTGGCACACACAATGCAAGAAATGCATAAATGAAAAATACTAGACAGTTATGCAGAGCAATGCATAAAAATCTAAAGATAACCTGAGCTCACCTCTAGATAGAAATTAATAAAATCTGGACTGAATGAACAAGAATAGTTGTGTCAAGGCAGTTTAATCATCCAATGAACAAAAGGACAACTTGGTAATGAACAGAACAGAAAATAGTTGCATGCCTTGTGTATTCGTTTCGTGATCAATATTTCTCACTTGGTTGTAGCTGGGAGGTCACTGTTCTGCGTGATTTACACTGAGCAGTTGCTCCACTGATCGCGTTTTGCTTTTTCTGACCGGGTGTCAGGTACCTTAACTTTCAAATGCGTATTTTTCTATGTAATCAATCAGCCACATTTAATGAGCCGCTTTTCACTGAATGCGTCTCAGGCAGTAATCATGAAGTTCAGTTGCTTTCTAACTGATAAGCCTCTTTTGATGTGCAACATGTTTTGCTACACAGACATCGGCAGGTTTTTCTGTTTTAGTAAAAACAAGTTCTTGTTTTGAACCTTTTAAGCTCCGGCAAAACAAACTGTACCTAAGTGGGATGTGCCAGGTTTTCAATGCTGCTATATTGTCTCTGTTCATGAAAGCGTGACATAGACAGTCAACAGCAGTGGCAATCATCATTGTATACAATGTATGCATCACTGTTGAAAAATTACCGACAAGACAATAGTTGTCTATGATATCCATGTCCACTTATGTATTTAAGACATAGCAGTTTCGCCAGTGTCTTCTTCCTTGCCTATTCATTTCCCCACTGATATTCTAAATACTATACGTAAAAGCTTTTTTTCGCCAAACTTATGTTAAAATTGTATAAACAGTTTGTGTTTTCATTTTGCACCTGTATTTGTTTTTTACGATCCAGAAGTTCACATAGTATGAAAAAAACTTGCAAAGGGCCTCGTTCATATTTATTATTGAATGCTATATTGTGTTTTGTAACACTCCCATTCATGTCTTGCTCTGTGAAAACGACAAATAAATAAAAAGTGAGTAATCTTCGTAAATAAATCTCTTCTTTTTTTCTTTCATATGGCATTCAGCCACTTCAGCATGTTCTTTCCTACCTAAGCTGTGTGCACTGCATGTCCTCATGGTTGCTGCAATTCTGCACATAAAAAGACCGCACCCTCAACACATGCTCACTTATTGTAGGCATTGCTTACACAGAGCAAAACCACATTTTTCAATGCTCTAAAAAATGCAGTATGTATATCACATGTCTTAGAGCTTTGGAATTTGAAAAGTGTGTTTTTGGTCTTACGAACATGCACGAGTGTGTTTTGACATTTTTATAGCTTGGCTGTTCTTACACCACTTGTTTATGCATATACGAATGTGTTGATAAAGGGCTGTTTGGAAACAGTTTTTGTGCATGGACAATATTAATGCAATTTTCACATCATACCAGCGATTTTTCTTAGCCCGAAGCTTCGGGGCGGTTCCCGTAACAAGTCAACATGCCTTTTATTATTAACAACACACAGTAGTATATATTTTCTGCGCACGTCGCATGAAAGCCATGATTGATTGATTGATTTGTGGGGTTTACCGTCCCAAAACCAACATTTGATTATGAGAGACGCCGTAGTGGGGGACTCCGGAAATTTTGACCACCTGGGGTTCTTTAACGTGCACCCAAATCTGAGCACACGAGCCTACAGCATTTTTGCCTCCACCGAAAATGCAGCCGCCGCAGCCGGGATTCAATTCCTCGATCAGCGGGTCAATAATTCAATACCTTGGCCACTAGATCACTACGGCGGAGATACGTATCATAACCCAAAGATTGCGCAAATTGTTTGCTATACAAAACAGTGCATTATTGGTTGGCTAGGTATCTAACTTTCTTTACAACGTTCACCATATGCGCTTCAGCTCTACTGACTCGTCCTTGACCCACGTTGCATCAGAAATTTCCCATGGTTCTGTGCTCGGGCCACTCTTATTCTTGGTTCATATCAATGACATCCCCTTGCACGCTTCTGTGAAAATAGGCCCTTTCCAAGATGACTGCGTCCTGTATCATTTTGTTGAATCTTCACTGGTCATGTCATTCTAAACCTTTTATTGTCTCATTATTTGAGCAGGTCCAAATGTTGCCAAATGATTATAAACTTTTTTAAGGCGGTCATGATATTTACCACATGTTTGGTCCAAAGGTACTGATCTTACATACAACAAAGCCCTCAGAGTTTAGGTTAATTACATCGTACTATCTGTCTAACTCCTCAGGAAACCAAACTGCTTACCTACAAAACTATCATTCGTCCCATTCTCAAGTTTGGCGGCGTGGTTTGGAACCCCCATAGGAAATGTCGTATCTAGAAACTAGAATCCGCTCAGAAAAGAGTTGTGCGCTTTGCATGCAAGGAATGGGCCAGGCATTTTTCACCGACAAGTTTTATAAGCCTGTGTGGCATCACGTAGCAGGTGAACTTATTACGAGCGGGCAGCTGACCAATAGTCCCTTGTATACAACCTAATGACACCAAGTCGGCCAGTATAAGACCCTCGTTAATGAATAAGGGAAAGAGATGTATACCTAAGGGCTCGTTTTTCCGTGTTTTTGAAACAATATAATGAGATCTAACAGACAATAATGCCAAAATTGTATAGGGAAAGTTATTAGAATAAATGTATAGTAGATAAGAAGAAAGAAAAGTGGGTGAAAGAATAACCAGCCGTGAGCAGGAATCGAACCGACGACCTTCGAATAACGCGTTCGATGCTCTAACCACTGAGCTATCACCGCGGCCTTCCCACAACCCCCTTTTTTGGGTTTATATGTGAATTTAAACGTGCATGGATGAATGGATAAGGCTGTACCCTTTAGATCGGGTGGTGGCTACGTAGGAGTGTCAGTCAGCGCCATCTGTAGCCAAGCGGCGAGTGTGGAACACTATTTGATAAGCCTGCGTGGAATCACGTAGCACGTTAACTTAATACGAGCTGGCAGCTGACCAATAGTCCCTTGTATACAACCTAATGACACCAAGTGTGCCAGTACGAGACCCTTGTAAATGAATGAGGTAAAGTGGTGTATACCTAAGGCCTCGTTTTTCCGTGTTTCTGACACAATATTAATATATATATTTATATTTATATATATATATATATATATATATATATATATATATATATTATCATCATCATCAGCCTGACTACGTCCACTGCAGGACAAAGGCCTCTCCCATGTTCCGCCAGTTAACCCGGTCCTGTGCTTGCTGCTGCCAATTTATACCCGCAAACTTCTTAATCTCATCTGCCCACCTAACCTTCTGTCTCCCCCTAACCCGCTTCCCTTCTCTGGGAATCGAGTTAGTTACCCTTAATGACCAGTGGTTATCCAGTCTACGCGCTACATGCCCGGCCCCTGTCCATTTCCTCTTCTTTATTTCAACTATGATATCCTTAACCCTCGTTTGTCCCCTAATCCATCCGGCTCTCTTCTTGTCTCTTAAGGTTACACCTACCATTTTTCTTTCCATTGCCCGCTGCGTCGCCCTCAATTTAAGCTGAAACCCCTTTTGTGAGTCTCCAGGTTTCTGCTCCATAGCTAAGTACCGGCAAGATACAGCTCTTATATACCTTCCTCTTGAGGGATAGTGGCAATCTACCTGTCACAATTTGAGAGTGCTTGCCGATTGTGCTCGACCCCATTCTTATTCTTCTAGTTACTTCAATCTCGTGGTTCGGCTCTGCGGTTATTACCTGCCTAAGTAGACATACCCCGTATTCACAAACGCTCCTCGACTCGACTCACACCCTTCACTTGACAGAGTTGAGCACTGCGCCCCCATTCGGCTGAAAAGGACGCTGCGCTGCTCAAGGATCGCTGCAGATTATTGCTGATATGCAGTGACTTGTCGTGACTAGAGATGGCACTGCCAACGGCTTTCTCAAGTGAAGGTGGAGTGTTGAGAGAAGGGACGTTCTAGAATACGGGGGATAGTCTTTTGCAACTTGAAGTGCACTATTACCTATCTCGAAGCGCTGCTCTTTTCCGAGGTCCTGCGTTTTCTGGAGATTAATTTTGAGACCCACCTTTCTGCTCTCCTTGTCTAACTCCGTAATCAAGAGTTGCAATTCATCCCCAGAGTTACTCAGCAATGCAATGTCATCGGCGAAGCGCAGGTTACTAAGCTACTCTCCATTAACTCTTATCCCTAACTGTTCCCATTCTAGGCTTCTAAAAACCTCCTGTAAGCACGCGGTAAATAGCATTGGGGAGATTGTGTCCCCCTGCCTTACACCCTTCTTGATTGGTATTCTGTTGCTTTTTTTTATGAAGCAATATGGCAGCAGTTCATCCCCTGTAGATTTCTTCCAGAATGTTTATATTGCCACGGGGTCGTGACGTGGCCGAAGACAGGAGACTTTGTGTTGGAATTTACCTGTTTATTAGGGCGAATCTCTGCCCGGTAAACGGAAAGTCCGATTGCAGTAGCAGTCTTGGACTCATAGCGGCGAACGGAGCGTCGGCCGCCGATCAGCTACTGACAAGCGGCAAAGTGCGTCGGCATTTATATTCTTGCCATCGAATGTTCTAGCGTTATCGCTGGCGATGGCGTAGGTTCCAGAATAATCCGTACAGTTCGCAGAGGGGGCGTGATCTTATCGAAATGATCTACTATAGTCCGGAAGCTTCTCGAAAACTGCACGCGCGTTATGCGCTGAGAATTGTGTGGTGTTTCGGAACGATAACAAAAACCTTGTGAAATGGAACGTGGCATTGCCCCCCTCTGAAAAAAGGCATCGTCCCGATGCTTTAACTAAAGATGAAGGTACAATAATAATGCAAGAAAGTACAATGAATAACTTACAATACAACAATAATACAAAAAAACACTGTTTCAGTTTGTTAACGTGCATGAAACGGCTTGAGGCGCGCGACATGGACGACTTCAGGTCGCGATCGGCGTCGTTGAGAGTTCGTGATGCCGTCGGGGACAACCTCGTAATTAAGTGGGCCGAGACGTCGAACCACCCTGTACGGTCCGAAGTACCGTCGCAGAAGCTTTTCACTTAGTCCACGTCAGCGTATCGGCATCCACACCCAAACACGTTCACCGGGCTGGTATTCCACGAAGCGTCGTCGAAGATTGTAACGGCGGCTGTCAGTCGTCTGTTGATTCTTGATACGGAGACGCGCGAGTTGTCGGGCTTCTTCGGCGCGTTGAAGGCACTCACTCACATCGAGCTTTTCTTCGTCGGTGACGTTGGGTACCATGGCATCGAGCGTCATTGCCGGGCTCCTTCCGTAGACCAATTTGTATGGAGATATCTGCGTCGTCTCCTGCACCGCCGTGTTGTATGCGAAGGTCACGTACGGAAAAATGGCATCCCACGTCTTGTGTTCGACATCGACGTACATTGCCAGCATGTCGGCGATCGTCTTGTTAAGCCACTCGGTGAGGCAGTTGGTCTGGGGGTGGTACGCTGTCGTCCGGCGGTGGTTTGTTTGGCTGTATGCCAAGATCGCTCGAATTAAGTCGGCAGTGAATGCGGTTCCTCTGTCGGTGATAAGGACCTCCGGGGCGCCGTGACGTAGGACGATATTTTTGACAAAGAACTTAGCTACTTCGGATGCACTGCCTTTGGAAAAGCTTTTGTCTCGGCGTAGCGGGTGAGGTAGTCGGTAGCTACCACGATCCACTTGTTTCCGAAAGCCGACGTCGGGAATGGCCCCAGTAGGTCCATACCGATGTGCTGGAAAGGTCGGCAAGGTAGCTCAATTAGCTGCAGAAGTCCTGCTGGCCTTGTCGGCGGTGTCTTGCGTCGCTGACAGTCCCGGCATGTCCTCACATAACGAGTGACTTTGGTGGTAAGACGTTACCAGTAGTACCTTTCTTGTATCCCCGCGAGCGTGCGAGAAACACCGAGAAGCCCTGCCGTCGGATCGTCGTGCAGGTCCTGCAAGAGTTCTGGTCGCAGAGCTGAAGGCACCACAAGGAGATAGTTAGCTCGAAGCAGTGAAAACTTTTTCTTTTGTAGAAGACCGTTT